AAAAAAAAACATACCGGTAGTTCTGATACCGCCTTGAGGGGACTTTACAAGGAGATAAAAAATTGGTACATAGGAGTCCGGCTGTTTACCGGGAAACGGTAGTGGAACGAACACCGATCGGTCAAATCCGTGTGTGCTACCGGAGCCAAAGTCTTCCTTGAAGAAATCATAGATAAGTAGTTCTGATTAATGAACTCGAAACAAGTATACAGTACCTTAAACCTGGCCGATGGCATAGCTGCCTGCATGTGTTGATGCGTGTAGTAGCTGAGGGGTTGCAAAAATTGTGCCATGGCATTTGGAATCGAGTAGTTGAAAACACCAGCCGGAGTAGCTGGATCTTTTTGTAAAAACTAAACAGGACATGTAGTTCTGGCCAAAACATTCTAAACAGCATATACCTGGACGTCAGCACTGTCAAGCCTAGTTTGGGAATTCTTAGCCAAGGTGTCGATCAACTGATTTAGAGTCACTTGGTCCAAACGTTTTTGGAGAAGGTCGCTGAGCACTTTACATATTTCATGGCCAGGTTTCTCCACTCCATAAACAGCCAGAAGAATGTGGTTTTTGAATCTTTCCATTTCTCTATAAATGGAGATGCATACATGCAATTCGGAAATGCACAAATAGTCTACACAGACACGTGTGGATCTGTGAGTCCTTAGCAAACCCATTTACAAAAACAGCTCCTATGTTTTATTTGTGACACAGCAACTCGTCCCTATACGCCCAATACCGTACTCCAAAACTTTGGTTGGTGTTCGAGTACGGTATGGGCGAAAGCGTAGATGTGAATTTTTCAGCCATTGAGAAAACATATGAGCTGCCGTTTGTGTAGTGACCTAATCAGAACTTCACTATCACTCTAAAAAAACCAAGTACCTGCACATTACCTATGAGGACAACACATAAACTCACTCTATACTCTTTTTCCTTTTCAACGCAGCTTTATTCATCTTCAAAGATGCCCTAAAGGTCTCCATCGATGTATGAAGCTGCATATATGATACTCGACCATCTGACTCCCTAAAAAGCAGATTTGCAGAGTCTTATTCAGTGAAGTACCGATGTTACCTGACAACATAAGTATTCGGTATATTCCTGATTGCGAATTGTTCCAAAGCGATTCGCAGGGCTTCGCACCCGAATGCAAGGGGATCGCGAGAGTTGCTGCGAAGCACACGTAGACGTGGGTGAACTTCAAACCTGCAAACAAAATTTATCTTTTCAAATCTGATCTAAATGAAATGTCAAACTTACCAAAGCTGCTCCTGTAGTTTACATGCAAAATAGCCGGGTGCAAAGGTGAAACGAGCTCCATGGGCTATGTGGGTATCCACTTCATGGTCCTCGGATACTGCAAATGAGCGCGATCGTATCCAAACGGCCGCGAAAAATTAACAAGGCGAGAACTGGTCCCCGAAATTACAAATCTCACCCGACGAGGTATTGCTTCGATCCAAGGAATTATCGTGCGTCGATATAGATTCGCCTATGTTGGTCATCAACAGAGGATCACATTCTCGTAGTTCAAACATGCGATTCAGAAGGAGCTCCTAGATGGTTGAAAAATCAATAAATATCTCTTAGAAGGTTTCGATTACCTGGTTGATAACTCGGATGGTCTGTCGACATTTTCGCCATGCCAATTCAAAGATACGATCATGACGTCCATTTTCCCTAGAAACAACAGATTTTCGCACTTGGGACAAATAAAAGCTTCGTTGTCTACCTTTGACAAAACTGTAGTTTTATATTGTCATCAATCGTTAGGATCACCCAAAAGTCATGGAGCTGGTCAAGTCTTAACAGATCGCTGGTATCACAGGAATCACTTCTGCCTGCAAATTTCAAAATTGCAGAATTTTCAACTCATTCTTTATCCAATGCTTACTTCCACTTTTCTGCCGCGTGTAACGCTCAAAAGCTTGGATATCCTCTACCTGGAAGCAATGTTTTGGAAATATAAACGTTGTAATCTACACTTACCTCACAGCAGTAGTACATGTTGGCGTCAGCCACTCGTCGCAAAACACAGTATTCAAG